CTTGACACATGCTTCTGACGCTGATGGATGGGTGTATCATATATGACTGAATGTGTAATTAGATGAATGTGTCAGGCGTGAGTGAGGGATAGATTTTCTCAAAATGGGTGCGAATAAAGACAAACAGATTAGAGATAATGGATTGGAAGTAGATGGATTTGGGTTTGATAGACTGCTGCACTCTGAATTAATGAACGGGGGTATCCGATATGGCAATGTTGACTAACTAAGACTGGGTGGAGAAATGAGTAAATCTATCGATGGCTTTGTCACCCACATGCATTATGTCAAAATAGAAGGCACTAACCTAAGTGCAGTAGGGAGGTGATATTTCACTGTTCGCCTACCGTTCACAGTGCGCAGCCTCACCCATTCCAACTACCACATAGTCGCCAGCACTACCCTCTCCAGGTAGAAGTGGCTTGAACGTAACCCGAACAGTGCGTAGTTGCAGCCACGCCCGCAACGGGTCTCACCGGACCTGTAGCACCATCACCGTCAAGCTCTTGGGCAGTGGACCCAGTGCTCTAAAAATGCCTGCCCTCGCTGACCTGTAGATTGCATACATTAGGGAGTGGTGACTACTAGTGAATCATGAGTGGACACCAATTACCTGACATCCGGAACACAACAAAGTAATGCCTCATTGCTCACAAATTTGGACCACCACCTCGGTAGCATGCTATCCATCTTTGGCTTACCATTTCTGTATTCTTGCACCCATGTTCCACCTAAGCGTGTGTTTTATAAAGCCTTCAGAGACGACCAAGGCAATACAGTAATAGCAAAATGACAGCCTCGATGACGCCCGTGCTGCCAGTCTGTCAACCCCTCCAATGAGATTACACCTTACAACCTCTTTAAAAGTAACTTGAGCAAAAAATTATTCACTTCTAATGGAAAAAAGCCCCGATTTAGTCTTCGCATTGTAGGCAGCTGATACTGATAATATACCTCTTTAGGGAAGCCGCTACTGACACCACGCCAACTGCTCACAGCTGTCTCCATCATCAAGTTCAAGAAGTTGACCAGTGATAGAGTGGGACTCAGTTTCACCGAATCACAAC